ACCACAGCACTGCCTAGTCCACACCACCACTGTCCTCACCTGAGGCACAAAATGATTGCCCAGTCCACACCACCACTATCCTCATCTGAAGCACAAAGACAAATGCTTCCAGGCAATAACTGATAGTCTTAGTGCTACTGTTTTCTTTTTCTTTTTTTTTCAAGAATTTTGCTCATGATTTATAAAAGGAAAAGCCCAGAACTAGCATAGCCTTTGATGATAGTTGGCATCACAGCACCAGCAAATGTGATTATCATTCCTCTGCCTACAGCGCCGCCTACAGGCCGAGTGCCTGAACTACAGGTGCTGAGACAGTGACAGCCAAAGACGCCATAGTAAACCCTAAAAGGCAGATCCTGTGGTCAACCCTCCCTCCTCCTGCAGTGCTATCCACGTATGCAGGCACTCACTAATCACCAAATCAAGTACAACATTCATATCAGGAAACACAGCATTTTCACCATGGCCAACTCCAAATGGAGGCCTCCTCACAGAACATACGCACATTTTTCAAGGCAGTCCTGTATGAAATAGGATTTTTTTTTTAACTAGGAATTTTTCAGGAAATTTTTCTAGATTCTCTCTCTTCTCTGAGGAATAAGATTGGGCATCTGAAGCATGAGGGCAGGGGCATTTCCGATCTTTGTTTAATGTGTCCTGGCAGTGACCACAGGGCAGGAACAAGCATGAAATTCAGTATAGTTATAGCATACTAGTTAGAAGGTGCTAAACTCAGTCGAATTAAAATTTTAACTGAGTTAGTCAAAACTAAGTCAAATTAAAATTTCCCTCAAATCCCTCCAAATCACCCCAAAGATACTATACATGCAGCTTTATGTGTACAAGTCTATTATTACACCCAAAATGTATAATGCAAAAACCTTTAGGGCAGAACACAGGACTAAGGCTGCAGGGCCTGGGTGTAGGCTTGAGGGTGATGACAATGAGGGATGGTGAAGACTGGGGCTAAGAGAAATGCCCACTATCTGACCAGAGGAATTACAAGACGGTACTTCTTAAAAGTCATAAACTGAGGACCAGCATACAGTATAATGGTTATGTTGCTGAACTCCCACATAGTCAAACACAATTCGAGTCCTGGACCCCACAACTTAAATCTCATGCCAGGCTCATGTGCACACATGCCCAAAATCCTGAGAAGAAACTAGAGGGGAAGGGAATGCACTGTGGTCATCCTCCCAGGGGATGATTTCTCACTTTCTGTCTCTCTGGCAAGCACATGTGCCCTATAGCAAAAATCTCTCTCTTAAAAAAAAAGTCATAAACTGAATTCCAAAAAGAGTGAATCACACTATTAATGTAAATTATATCTCAATAAAACACAAAACAAAAAGTACTATATCATATACAGTAATAGCTTATGATAAAAATGTATATGCAAAATGCAAAAACGTAAATTTTTAAAAGAATTATTTATTTTTTAATTTTTTATTTTTTGGAGAGGTTTTTGCTATAGGACACGTGCACTCTTCAGGAAGACAGAGAAAGACAGAGACAGAAAGCAAAAAATCACCCCCCAGGGGAGAATGGTCATACCACAGACCCTTCTCCATTCTCCTCTCAGGATCTTGGGCATGCACACACACATGCCCAGCATGAGTTTAAGTCACTGGGTCCGGGACTTGAACTGGGGTCAACTACATGGGAGCCCAGGGACATAGCCATTATACCATCTCCTAGTCCCCTTTAAAATTTATTTTTAATTCACCAGAGAGAAGCAGGGGGGGAGGGGAGGATGAGAATCCAAGCAACCAGGTCCAGGATTTGAAGAATAGTCGGCCATGTGAGAGTCCAGTGCTTTAACCACCACAGCATCTGCTGCCCTAATACCTACATTTTTTAAAGAATTATTTTATTTAACTTTATTTACTTATTTATTTTAATTTGACCAGAG